ACACCTCAAATAAATCAAACATATACAACAGAGCACCACCAATTCATAACTCATACCTCCACGGAACCATCCACCGACAAATCCACCAACAAGTTTGTTGATATTCCACTAACAAAACCTTGGGGACACATTATGCCGATCAGGTTCCACAATGTTGGTGTGCTCACAAATGAGGAACTACAAGCAAAAAAAAAAAACATTTGAAAGGTTACAAAAACAATACATTATCCCACTGTACACAGTTTATGTTTATTGGTTATTCAATTGATCGTCAATGTACCAACAAAGCAATGACACACCTGGTAACATTTTCTAGCCTGTTGTGTAACTCATTCATAGAACTAGTCAGCGCGCTCTTGATCATTCTAGTCTAATCGTACAAACATAACATATCCAATTTGTCAATTACACGCACATACGCCCAACCGATCGACTCACCCATATTAGCAAAAAATAATTTTGCACATACATACAAACAGACCAGATTCACAACATCCTCTTCGTCACGTTCAGAGTTTCCACGCATCGCCACCACAAGCAAGTCTTTGATAACTTTTGATGAAATGCGACTTATGTTGGGGCAAAGCTGTTGAATGAAATCCGATAGAGCTTTACCAATTTGTGCCACGTCCAAATTCTCCTTCCCACATTGTATTCCAAACAACAAGCGGATGTCACTGTTTCGCAGTGGTAGCCCTTTTTCCCCAATGTGGAATTTCTCATCCATTAGGTTGTATGTTTGGATGATTCGGCAAACCATTGCATCACATTTTAATGTATGCTTTCGGATCCAAATTATGAACTCGGATTGCCTCAACCATCAACCAGAATGGTGTCTTCTGCAATTATTTTCTATGGCATGCACCGAAATTGAACTCCAATACCATTTTGATCACCCCAGCAATATTGGAGCGGTACATTACCTTTGAGGGGTCAACAACAGGTTTTCTGATAGATCTGGTCGTTGTCTTTGTCTTTTTGAAAGGCGGCTTCCTTTGCCTTCTCATGGCCAACCAAGTCGAACTCTGTGGTGTGGAACGTGAACATGGTGTACTCTCATTCCGTTTATGCTCTCCGAACTGACAGCTAGACCTACCTATACATGAAAAAACATAGCAATATTAATGTTTGTTATTACACCACGCAATTCAGCAGCCAACTTACTCAGCAAATACCAAAACCCTATTACGTGACAACATACTCACTAACATAACCCATCACACTACAGCACATACGTGCCACAAAAGCAAACCACAAAAAATACACACCTACAACCATCATCCACGCAACCCATGCGTACACGATGTTAATCATAACCAATTGCCCATTTTTTTTATTTTCGCTCTCATTTTATTATCCCTAACTGACACATTCCCACACGTTATACATGCACGTTCACTCAATATCATATCGTGCATTTTGCAAATAATCATCCTAACAATTTTGTCATAACTGTACATGACATTATAGCAACGAAAGCAAGAATACCACAACGTAGTTAGTTACAATTACATAACATACCATTTTCTAATTTAGGCATAAACATTAACATACAATAGTAAAACAGATAGTCGCCAATCATTCTCCGTTCAAGCTTGTTGCGATGTGGCAATATGCAACATTCTTTTTCCATACATTTTTTTGATTTCTTACTGTATTAGGAAGTGCCATTTGCATATCAAATTCACAATTTACATTCAGGATTGTAGTAATTAAATTAACCAATGTTGTGAGTTTCTAGTGTGTGTTGTGTGTTATAGTGTGACGTACACTGTGCACTTCAATAGTCAACGTATTCAAACAAAGTCACCATCTTCACACAGCACACAACGGCACATGCGTGCCACGAACTCATATAACACTACCAATCAACACCAACCATATCATCCACACATTAACCGCAAACACACCATGTCCACATTCCAACATTAAACCAACCAAACATTAGCCACTAACAACTACTAAGAACCAACTCCAACATCACATTCACACTACCCATACACAACACAAAAACCACAGAGACCAACCCAACAATATAAATACATTACCAAAACACCTACATTGACAATTAACATCAACCCAAACCCCACAATCCCCTAACACAGATTATCGTAAAGACCAATTACATTCACATTATAATCCATTGACTCCATGAACACAACATCTCACCTAATGTCCCCAAAAAATTATTAACTTTTCCTATTCGAATTGATTATAAATTAACATCATCAAAAACCAGCAAACAACTCCACCATTTTACACATAACAAAACCATGATGTTGGATTAACTCACACACAGACAAATCTACTTCGAACATTACCATACCTGTTGTCATCGCACAACGGCCACACAAACGCTGCCCAACGAATGTTCTTAGCTCGCTGATGTTATGGCAATACGGACGACCAAAAGCCCTAAATCCTCAGTACAAACGCCAATTCGTCTCCTCAAATGTGCTACTAGGGGTTTTTGGGTCTAGGATTTCTGTAGGTAATGTACAACATTATTTCCCGAATGAATATTCAACTAATCACCCAATATGAGAATCCAATCACTAACATTGCAATATTAACCTAGAACCTTCTATTCTATGTCGTTCACTTTTTTTTTTGGAATGAAGGGAAACCAAAAAAACGCTATAATACACTTTTGGGCAATTTCATAACTCCAACATCACGAAAACCCCACATCCACCCCTGAATAAAAACAAGTCATGTTAAAAAATTATGGGCTCTAACATAATTAACATTTAAATGGGACTACTTGATCTACAAATTAAAAGATAGGACTAAATAATTCAACATATCTATATTTGGAATTTATTAGTGTTTTGCCCTTTAAATTACCGTACTTGTTGCTATCATTTTTAATTTTCTTTTTGGTCCAAGAATGCGCATGAGCTATTGAAGATGCCAATTTTGCAATATCACCTTGTCAATCAGACTATTTTAAGTCGTGCATTCATGCATGACTAGACTTACACCAGGAATGAAAGGTCCTTAATTTATATAAGTTCACATGCCACTTTCTAAAAAATAAAACAAAATATATATTCACCATGATAAAACAAAAAAGAATGAAAAAAAAGACCATTGAAGCAGAGGCCAATTATATCACTTTGATAGGTTAGGGATTTACAATCTATGAAAAAGCTAACCTGACAAATAAAATACAAAAAATTAAAAAGAAAACAAGAGTAGAGCTACACTGTTTGTTAATTATAGCTGTACATGATGAGATTAAACAATTATCCCTATATACCCAGCACAACTGCACCTTGTATCTTATTAGTGTAGCACAGTCCCAAATGGCCCTCATCATCTCCTCCCAGTGTCAGTTGAACCCGACTACAACTTGACATAAGAGTAAATCAAATTAGCCAATTGCACTGCAGCTTTGTATATTTTGTGCGAGTTGTATGATGGCCACACCGAGTTAACCTATTTTCCTTGGACTGGCTTCCCCACACGGCTCTTCCACATGCTCTGCATTTCATGAAAAGCTAAATTAGATATTTCTAGATAATGAAAATTATAATGCTAAATGCAAACTAAGAAGCTAGGTAGGTAGGTGGGTACAAGAGGCTCATCATCGGAGAGCTCCTCTTCCGCAGAATCAGAAGCTGATGTCTTTTCTCGGGATTTGTTCGGATCCACTGGATTACTCTCGTGGTCATCTGTTTCAGTCGCTTCAGAATCTGACTGCTCTGATTTATCTGCTTCCTCTATAGATCCTACTTCCCCTGATTCATCTTGCTGCTTCTCTTCTAATTGCTTAATCCTTTTTTCTTCAGAATTAGGCATCTCCCCCTCGGATTCTTCTGCATCACTTTGCCCAATCTCAAAATCTCCAGCTAGTTTCCTTTCAGAAGTGGACTTCTCCTCGTCAGATTCCTCCCCACCCGTTAAACTCTTCTCTATTGCGTCTATCCGTTCCCCTTCTGAATAACCTGCTAAAACAATATATAGATGTCTTGATATATATATATATAATCTGAAAACAGTACATATTTCCAGATCCATTTTTTTCACTTCAACTGAGCAATAATATTTTTTCTTTTTTAGTAGCAGAAAAAATAGTATGTAGTATGTACCAAGCAACCTTTTCCCCAGCCAATGAGTTGTTCTATGACAGTCACTGCCTATTTTGAGTTGGGAAACCACATCATATAAGTGTGTTTGGGAACCTATATTTGGGGCTAAAATAGCCACAAAAACAATGTTAGCCTAAAAGCTCCTAAACCAAAAGCTTTTTTTTAAAAAAAAAATATATATATATATATATATATAGTAGGGGCTGTCACTGTGACAGTCCTACCACTGTCACAGTAACAGGTAGCTAAATTACAATTTTATCCCTTCAAATTAATTTTGGAAAATGTGAAGTTAGGGACAAATTTGTCAATTTAACTTCAAACATCATTTCAACACATTTTTCAATACACTAACTCAAATAAAAATCCATACTATCTTCCCAAACACAAAAACTAAAATAGCCTACTAAAATAGTCAAAAAGCCAAAAAACCTCTAAAATAGGCACTTCCCAAACACCCACATTATAAACAAAATGTTTTAGTTGATTTTCATAGACTCCTTACCCTTTCAATACACAACTAACATTTCCACGGTCCTAAACAAATTAATGAAGCTTCAATGGTTAGTATATGAAACAGGTTATATATCTAGACAGAATTACATAATCAAAATGTATTAACACTATTATATGGCAAATGTTTAGAATAAATCATAATGAAAATGAAACCTCGTAGACGTTCTTGATCCAATCTCACGTCGACACAAATATTTCAACAGGCATTTTTGTATTCAGAGTATATGAGTGCATTGCATAGATTGATATTTTGCCTAATATCGAGAGACTACATGATTAGATACAAGTGTGTTGATAGAAGAAGCCCTTGAAAATAAACTTCTGCATGCATTAGACAAATAAAGTTTCAATTTAAAATAAATAAATGGTGCAACACCCTCTCACCTGAGTTCATATCGTCAACTTTGGATGATGCAGCAGGTTCAGCGTCTGACATCTCAGCTTCAAGCAATCTGGGAGAAGTTTCACTCCTTGACACCCATTTTTGTCCATGCTTCATATTCTTCCTTGGAGATCTTTTCCCTCTTACTTTAGATGGTGAAGATCTGCAACTCAGCGCAATTTATACGAGTAAATAAAATGAAAACTTTCAATTAACTGCTGTTGGAATGAAATCTCCAACTCACGTTGTAATTGATTGTTTGTTTTGATGTGAATGACAAAGACTTCTTTTTCTTCTCAGACGATCTGCAAAATAAAATAAAATAAAATTAGATCCATGCACCAATACTGCCACAAGCCTCTGCACGTTTAAACATCTAATTCCCACAAAACAATTTGTAGATTACAGATATGAATTAGAAGGCATTACTCACAATCCTTTTTTAGATGGACCTTTCGATGATTTTAACCGCTGTGAATGGTGGTGTAAAAAAAACACATTGTTAGAGTTGAAGGCCAATTTATTGCTTCAATAGAATTTATAATTCTGTAGATTCAAATATAGAAAACACTAGAAAGTTAACCTTTGTAGGCTTGCGACCATTGTCAACAAGCTCCCAGCGCTCTTTATCTAAACGGAGCACTTCCACATCTCCATCATCATACAATACCTTTAACACAAAATTGATCAGAGAAAATTATGTCAAAGAACTATACGAGATAACAATTATTACATTAGTGATAAAAAAGTTATCTCCAAAACATGACTAATACAAGTGTTAGAATAAAAAATAGAACATGGAACGGTACACTTACCACATATTTCTTATGTTCAGAGTCGTAAGACTTCACTACTCCTCCATAAAACCTGTTGATTTTAACAAGACACCATCAAGACACAATTCTTGTAGCAGCGTATACACACAAGGATTTTGGAGTGCAAACCACATGTACAAAAAGTACACACTACTAAGGCAATCAAGGATTGTCATTCCCTAGATCAAGATTATGTGGGTATGCTTTTGAATAATTTATTAGCACACGGATATATATACGCTAACAAGGCAATTTTCAAAAAGCATAAAACCAGTAGAGACATGACAATATACATATATATATATGATTTTTACATTTGGAAATTATAAATATATGTTTTGATTTTGATTTCCCATTTTTTCTTTGTATGTCATGTTCGACAAATAAAAAATAAAAAATTTATATATATATATAAATATAAAAAAAAATGATGAATGGGTTTGAGGCTTGCATCCAGATGTGATCCATCTCCAGACAGCCCACAAACTGATTTGGCCGGAAAATTGGCAGGCATCAAAGCAATCAAAAGAGGGTAGCTAAAAAGCAAACATGAGATCAGTACCAATATATATAATTTTTTAATCATCATGACAACCCAAGCAACATCAGCCAAAGGCCACAAGACTGGGAGGTCAATGCAAGCAAGGGCCAAGGAGAATATGCCAGAAACCCTTCTCCTCTGGCCAGAGGTCATTGGCCCTGGGGTACACACTGCTGGGCAGAAGTCATGTTCAGCAGTCACCCACGTTGGGATGTGCTAGTGTAGAGTCATTTTTTTTTTCATTCTGAATGTATCAAGTTTTTTTTTTTTTTTTTTTTGGCCGCTCCATTTTTGGCCAGTGTGAGTCTGATTCTCATAAAGGCATGTCCTCGCCAAGTCAGCAACATGTCAGGTAAAACTAAATTAACAGAAGTTGGGGCATGTCTCCAGTGTTTGACACCTGCCCGTGTCCGAAAAGGTGTATATGTCACATATAGGGGAGTGTCCTTGCTTCTTTGCAGGAAAGACACAATTAGGAATGGAACAGAACTTATGAGCAGCTTGATTGAGTCATAAACAAGGTCAACAATTTGAGATGGCTCAATCACAGCATTAGGAGAAGTTTTAATGTATGCCAAAGAATCCAATATGGATGGCATAGAAAACAGTGACAAACTGATCAAAAGTTGCAGACTCCCAGTAGTAGCAGACCACCCATGGCCCTAAACAGAGGAGTAGAACGGGAAACTTTCATGAAACTGAACCAAAAAAGAATTTGGTAAGGGGTCTCTGTGTTCATGGGTACAAGAAAATAAAAATCATTTTCACAATCCAAGTGAAGAACAAAACTAAGCCATGGCCAGCCCTGTGGACACTGGTGTTATTGAAAATATTTTTTTCAAGTGTTGAACCTATGACTGAAAGGATATGACTCCTCCCAATCTAACTAATTTTACCAGGAGAGGACATTATCCAGAGTCTAATTTTAAACAGAAGATGGATACATAATAAATCAGAAATTTAAATATAATAGAGATTCCCGATTTCATAGACCAACATATCTCATGCTCCAACTTTATCTTTCTCACCTATTCTTTCTTATTTTGTTGAAAAATGGCTCAATCTTGTTCTCTAAACCAACAAAATACTTACCGCTTGTCCACTGGCCACCAAACTTTTATTCTGCAATCAATCAGGTCCATTGTCTCACTTCCACCTTTCTTTGATGTGCACTGAGGAAACAAAGTAGCAGGTCAAGTGATTGCTTATGATGCTGTTTCTGATTCTAAATTCTTAGCAAGTAAGAAAACCTTGAAATATTTTGAAAACCAGAAAGTTCTCACATCCATAATTTAAAAACAAAAACACATGCCACTTCCCGCAATTGAAAATAAACTGAAATTATAATGTTGTACGTGCAAATCATTAGAAACAGAGTTTACATCATGAAATAATAGACATCCATGTTATCACTACTAACTCTATGCACTTGTGATAGAGCATGTCATGTGGCTCAAGTGAAAAAATGCGCATATAGAATCATTGAGTATTCTTTGAAAGCCTGAAGCCTCATTCTTAACAATTCAGCCCCATGGTTCAATCAAACGCTCACAAGGAGGGGTGTTCAATGTGATGAAGTACACATCTGACATCACAGGACAGTTGATATGAAAGAGATGTATAAGACAGTGCAAAAGGATAAACAATAGCCTTCAGAAGATCAATGTCAGGGTGCTTTCTTGGAGAGTCTATGACAATCCTCAGGACTCCCTCATGGTAGGTTTGATTTGGGAAGCTCCCATGCAAATCTCTTCCATGATGAAAATATTATTTTAGTGGCTAGCCTATAAAAGTGGGAAAAGAAGCAAAATTATAGGATTTCTGCCTCTTTAGGAATAATTTTGATTACAACAGCAAGGGTACAATATGACCACTTTATAGGACTCTGCCACCAGCAAGTTTGGAATGTTCCATCCTCATTCTGGCTGCCTAGGGTTTCAGTTTGTTTCTATCGTAAAGATTCTAGAATGGCATTGTATTCAAGTGACAAGTCAAATGTGAAGGACGAAGCTGATCATGCTGGCTGTTCTGTTGGTGATTTAGTTAGGCTACATTAATGTTTGTTTTGTCTTCTGAAATCAATTAGAGAAACACCATTATCCATAATGATACAAATGCCAACATTATTGCGATGTCGGAAAGATATATTAGTATTCAACGTAGAGAAGAAGAAATTAAAGCTATTCCACCACCATCAACAGATGGGTAAGAAAAGCTTCCAATCCCTGAGGATAAACATATTATGTACAATATTAAAGCTCTTTTTGTACCCACTTGGTTGAGCACTGTTAGATCTTCTATATGCAAAGTACAAACAAGAATACCAAATTCCTAATTACAAAATGAACTAAAAAATTAAAAATTATAAAAAAAAAAACTCTGGAGGTCAACAACCCTGCAGCTTTTGTCACAGCTTTGGTTCCATTCTTTTGTTTATCTTTGGTTCTATTCAAATATTTTTTTCCTTCATAGAGTTTAACTTTCTCATTAGCAAAGGCTAAAGGCACACAACAACCTTTTGGAAGAGAAACTGAACAGTTTCCCTTGAGGGAAAAGGAACCATGAATTGTCAACTAGCCTGAACGAAAAAACCAAAATTATAATTATAAAAGATGTTATTTGCACTGCTTGTGCATATCCAGTTTGCCGCATAATTTTGTGCAATTCTTAGCACATCATAACGAGTAAATATAACTAAAGCTGAAATAGATGTGACACAACCTCATGCTGCTAACATACCACAAGGTTGGTGGCATCATTATACATTAACTATGAGCCAAAAATAAAAGCAGTGTGATAGCACAAGAATCTCCATTGACAGGAAAGCACTCTATGTTGGATTAAAATAACATGGAAGGACTGGAGAGACTGACCTTTGCCAATCCCGCAATGCTTCTTCTTTTTCGTTTCTTTGAAGATCCCGAGGAAAACTTGGAATTAGTAATTGCTGTTGTACTATCAGTCTCCACAAGCTGATTAGACTTCTGCAGGAATTGAAGAAGAAAAATACAATCCTGTACTATCAACAACTAGTAAAAACATAGATGCATGTAGCTTTCAAAGCAACTTCATCAGTGAAAAAGAGCACCTTCACATCATAGTCGTCGATTTCACCAATGTTGTGTGCCTCATCATTATGATCTTTATTAGAATTTTTGCTTTTATGTTTTGACGAGGAGTTTGAATTCTTCTTAAAACATGACACCAACAAATCTGATTCCGCAGGTTCAACAACATTTTCTTGCAAAGACATTTTATCCTCGGAACCAACATGAAGTTCCTCATCTATTTCAGGGGATTCAGATGATGACCCTTCTTCCTGAGGCAAATCATCAGTTGAGGTCCTCTTTAAACCCTTTGAAGCACCCTGAGCAGATGATGATCTTCGGCGTTTGGGTACAGGAGAATTTGTTGTTTCACCAGCCACTAGTTTTTTCCTCTTCTGGTGCTTCTGATCAATTTTCAAATTTTTTGGAGTGCATTCATGGCCATTGCTTGATTCAAACTTGCTAGATGTCCCCAGATTATCCAAATTTATTTCCCTGACCATTTCTAGAATATCAACGTTTTCTTCATGTTCCGTTCCAGCTGGCAAAGATTCATTCTTCACCATTTTTTTTGCCTTGGTTCCCTTAGCTCTTAGGCGTTTTATAATTTTTCCCAAAGGAACATCATTTCCATCTGTCTCACTGTCTTTCAGAACCCCATCATCAACAACTTCTGGATGAATCTGATGTTATCAAAGCAAATATAATAGGAAAAAAATTAAATAAAATAACCAACATGTAAAACGCATAAATAATACTATAATTCCCAATGCAGTTGAAATAATACATGAGTCTTCTAACATACCATTCCGTTAACTTCTAACTTGAGTGATTCAAAATGAGTCAAGACATTCTCTTCAGCCAACCAGGTCTGTCCCTCACTGACCTGTCCAAAAGAAAATGCAACAGTATTAATTTCTATAACACCAACAACTGACAATAGAAGTTCAAAAGATCCAGATCCAAATCCAAATCAAAGAAAACCCACAAGATATTTGAAAACTGACAAGATACAATAAAATTAACAATGCCTCAACATATTATACTGATTTGAGTCTTGAGATCAAGACAGAATCATTACCACTTGGATTGAAACAAATATCTAGAGGAGAAGATTGAACGTTTTACAGAATATACTTAGTATAGACAATGTAAGAAATAATGTATAGAGAAAGAGAGAGAATAAATTGTATGTATTATTATTGATTGATATATTGATGTGTTGTATCTAATTGATATGAGTTGATTGATGTATTGATGTGTTGTATCTATTACAATTACAAGGATTCCTATTATATAGGAGTGTGTTTGGGAGTAGGTGGAGAGTAGGTGAAGTGGAGGTGGTAGTGGTTGGAGAGTAGGTGAAGTGGAGGTGGTAGTGGTGTAGTGGGTTAGGTTTAGTGGAGTAGGTGAGGTGGTAGTGGTGGTAGGTTTATGGTAAATTCTAACAGACAATCTATCAACTATTAATGTTAAATGTCTAATCTTAATAGGCATGAAGAGCCATGTGGTTATATATATTCAGGAACATATCAATAATGAGCCATCAATTCCTCCATTCATGTTATTTCAATATATTCAATCAACTCAACGAAACTCATCCTAACTGTATGGTGTTGGCCACATGATTTTTGTTTCATTATTCTGCTTTATCGAGGGCTATAACCTTAGGGTTGGTTTGGGAAGTAGCTTTTTCAGTGGCTTTTTGGCCGAAATATAAGGTGAAAAAAATTAAAGTGTTTAGGAATGGCTTTTTGGCTTATTACGAAAAACTATGAAAAAAGTGGAGAGAAAAGAAGGAATCTTACTTTTTATATGGCTTTTTAGTTTTTTGGCTTTTTTAGTGGCTTTTTGGCTATTTTCTCATCTTCCCAGTCGTCTTTCATACTACAACCCACATCAACTTTTGGTCTACCATTTTAGGTAGCACTCCCCTTAGGTAGTGTTTGGTGCTGGAATGATTTTGGTCAGGAATGGAATTTTTATTCCTTGGCCTCTCAATAGAATGATCATTCTCCAAAATTGATGAATGGTGATCCCATTTGCAATGTACATTCCTTTTTTTTTACCAAATCAAACATGGGAAAGAATATTATGATGTATTATGATGAAATTATCATTCCATTCCAGCCTTCATTCCAATGAACCCAACACAGGCTTATTGTTTACCGTGTCACATTGCCCACTTGGACATGATTTGTCCTCGTTTCTCGTAGGCTTATGTAATCATTTTCACTCACTTTATATATAACTTTTGTTTATATATATGGTCTATGTTTTTATATATTAACAGTTTGGAACCTGTTGAATCAGATTATTAAGACATCTGATGCTCAGAGCAATTGATACAGCGGCCAAAATACTCTTGAACTATAGACCCACTACAACATAAAAACAAACTTGTCTCGGGATTTTTTAAAACAAGAAATTCTTCATAAAAACATGGAAAGACTTTGAAAAACCCTCAATGTGGTTGATTCACAATTATGGATCCACTACACAATTCACCCAAAACTTGATGATCAACTCAACCAATCAATAAATTAAAAAATCAAATGATCAAGCCAATCTATCAATTGCACAAACCATAGCTAGATCTAACAAAATTGCATAAAATTTAATCAAATCCCATCACATAAGAGGAATATCCAATTCTAATGAGAAAAAACCTCAATTAAAGAGCCTCCAATTGAGATAAAAAATCACGGGCGCAATTCCAGAAAACAATCCACTAACTAACATGAGCAATTACAAGAGTTTCTAACAATCCATGGTGAAACTACACTCTACAAACTCAAGTGGCTCTTTCAAATCAACATTCATTGCTCTCTTGGGATCAATCTCTAATGTGCTGAATCTACAACCCAATCAGCACCTCTAAAATCCACCAAAGGTCTTCACAATTATATTTAAAATCCAACAAAGGACATCACCATAGATGTAGAGATAAAGAAATGAAGACTTGCAGTTGATCAATTCATTCTCTAAGACCCATAGATCTCCAATTGAACTCCAAGCAATGACTAGTTCACTCTCTAGATAAGTTCTGTAACTGTTTTGCATCTCTGGAGAGAGAAATGAAGCAATCAGACCTGGAAATTATGCAGTTTCACACTTTCGTCACTTACTCTACCAAGATAGACCACCAGGGCCATCACTTCACTGCTTGAGCAATGAATGAACAGTCTCTGCACTTCAACAGCAGGTTCTGAAATCCATAACACATGACTTCACTGTTGGACAACCACACCACTCAAAGTGTTGGTTCCTTACCCTCTGTATTTTTGGCTGTCGAACCTCGTCGGCTTATCAATGACTAATTGCATGCTCTGAGTTGCTTGCATCTAATGTCCATGAATGGGATTCACACAAATAGACTCAAGACTATGCTACATACAACCCAAAGTAAGACTGGATTACAAGTAAAAGAGTGTTTGTTGAACGTCAATTGCCAAACTACATTAAATGAACTCAAACTTCATGCAAAGAATCAACTTGAGCCCTATGCTATGACCCCTATCTCAATTTATTGTTATTACACCAAGATCCCTTCAACTATTACACACACACCCAAAAAAAAATCTATGGACCCATATAATGACCCCTCAACTATAAAATAAAATTTAATAAAAAATAAAAAATAAAAAAACATACAAATGCCCCCTTCTAGAGAGATGGAAAGGGTTGCATTTTGATAGCTAAGCGGGGATTAAACTGTAGATATTCGTACATGAGGAGGAAAAATGATATTCACTAATAGTTGAGGGGATGTAGTGTAATTAACCAAAATGTTTGTTACTTAGTTGCACGAAGCGGGAGCGGGAGCGGGAAAGCGTGAGCTGATAGAAGTTTCTTAGGTTGGGAGCGCCTCGGGAAGCGATAATATATATATATATATTTTTAATAGTTATTTCTAAAATATATTTATTATATAAAGGTGAGTTAAATAATTATTTTTAAATATATTTATTATTTTTATCTTAGATATTATTTTTATAGATAATATTTTTAATTTATTTATATATATTTTTAATTTTTAATTGATATATATTATAAATAAAAAACAGTAAAATAATAAAATATGTTAAAAAATAGTAAAATAATAAAAAATAGTAAAATAATGATTTATTTTATAAATTTTATTAAATTTTTTTTATTATATTTGATTTAATTAGATTTATTATATTATTATATAACAAATTATATTATTTATATAACAAATTATATTATTTATTATATAATTATATTATTATCATTATATAACAAATTATATTATTTATTATATTTATTATATGTTAGAAACGGGAGGGGGAAGACGACGCAGATCGACAAGAAAGAAAGAGAGAGAGAGAGAGAGAGAGAGAGAAGAAGAAGAAGAAGAAGAAGAAGAAGAAGAAGAAGCAGGAGGTGAGCACGATCGCGATGGCCATGGCGATGACGATCGAAGGCGATCGCGAGCAGATTGCGAGGGCAAAGACGACTGGAGGTTCGACGAAGGTTTGTCTTCTCACTCTCTTCCTTCACACACACTCTCCTCTATCTCTCTCTTCACCAACGATCCCATCTTGGCTAGGATCGCGTTTCTCTCTCTACGGAAATGCGATTCCTACACGTCTCTTTCTAAGAGGAAGATTCGTCACCTGTTAGGACGATTCCTGCAACTAAGGTTTGTTACAACATCTCCAACAGCTTAAGCCTTAAGAGTGATTGGTTGCTACGATTGTATCAACACAGGAAGATCCTGATCTCAAATCTCACCACCTATTTAATCATTACAATATATGCATGTGTTTGGCCCACTCATGAGCCAAGGTGGAGGCCACACACAACCTAAATTCTCAAGTTGCAACCACTTTAACAACTTATAACTTTAGAACAATTGCATAAAGCCTGATATCCATTGTTTGGCCATTTCCCTAATCGCTTAAGTTTGCTTAAGTTTTCAAGCCAATCATTCGGGGGTAAAAAACGTATACTTCTCCAGTAAGTTGTATTTCAGTCACGGTGTAGAAATACAGAGGAGACATACCTTGACTTGCAAGATGCAGGGAGAGAAAGTATTTTCATATATACTTGAAAAGATAAAATACACATTTTATGTTGCACCAGAAGTTTAATACATTGTCTAATAGTTAATGGAAACAGAGAACTTCCTTTCTTCCCAATGAGCAATCCATGGAAAACTTAGACAATACTAAATGGTATCATGGTATAGTATCGAACAATTCCAAAATTAAAAAAGATATACCAAGACATTGTATCTGCAAGATAATATTACGACTTTATGATTTATCATATTGAACCAAATCAATGTAGTAAGCCAGAGGTTTTTCTTTTCTCTCAAGTCATTAAATGCATTTTATACAGTCAACAAATGTGAATGAGCTTTGACAAACATACCAGAGGGTCATCCCCTTCTTTCTTCTCACGTGGTTTGTACAGCATTGGAGGGAGGGGCACTGATACAATTAATCCTTGAAGATCATCTTCTTTTTGAGCTAAGCGTTTGGTTATTGACATGCCAAGGTCACAGATTGCATACGAGTTCTGCGAACATAATTAATCACATCTTAAAACCATTGAGAGCAACTCTGCTTTTCCCTCTTATTGTCTAAAAAACCTGAGTCACAACAAAGAGTATGGACTTAACAAATTATAACCCCTACCTTCGACTTTGCTGGATCTGCAGCATCTTCTGAGCACTTAATGCAGTGAAAAATAGAAACTATTATAGATATACTCTCTTGTCCCTTGTTAATGCTTACTTCTGACTTGACATCATCATCTCCATGCATAAGCATAGAAAGAAATAAGTGCAATGGCCTGAAAATATTGAATGAAACATATTACAATGAAAGCAACAGTTACTGAGATCATTAACTCTATCCACAACTAAGTATCATGGCAAGCTATGGATAAAGTCCTCAGCTTTAGGATTATTCATCCAGATCTGCATCTTAACTTCTGTGATAGTCCAACCTCTATGCTATACCAGAAGGGGCAAACCTCAAGCACACAATCAACATGTTAAAAGATAACTTAAAAACTCGCAAGAAACTTACCCTACCATTCATACTCCACACAACTGTCCTCCAGCATAAAAGTCAAATCTAAAAATTAATTTTAATTTGAATACTGAAAATTCCACATCATCACAAGCTCTACCCATCATTTTATCTTTGAACAACAATTTTACACACAGGGAGACAAGTACTCACAAAACAATCCAATCAAAGTCTTGTAACAGGAATAGATCAACTTTGATCAACAGGCATTTGGTGATGTTGAATGCTGAGTTGTAACTGTTCAAGGAGCAAAGACGAAACAGTAGCGGAAAGGAAAGTATTATTTCAGCATCATCTAACTCTATAACACAATAATAAAATGTAAAAATATGGATCACTTTTACCCGCTCGCACCAAGAGTGATTTACCCTTGAAATATCTTAGAATGTCTTCAGTAATTGTGAATAAACCAAACCAAACCAAGCCTTGTGTCCCAAACAAGTGAGATAGGCTACATGAATCCTTTCTCATTATTCTGCTAGCTCAAGGTTTATCAGCAAAAAAAAAAAGGGGGGGTTATATGCTTGGTTAAATCAAATAAATACATATCCTTTTTTACTACTACATATCAGTTTAAATACGTATCAGTTTAAATCTCCCCTCTCCCTAACATTTCCATTTATGGTAAGCATGTAAGTCTTCCTTACCTATACATGTATAGATCTTTGTTGTACATGAACAAACCATCTTAGTTAATTCTTCCTCAACTTATCTCCAATTTGTCCTACTCCTACCATTTTATGAATATATTCATTTCTAATTCTGGCTTTTATAGGCATACCACACATCCATCTCAACTACACCAATTTTGTTAGTATTCGTCAATCACATAATATGCTAGACTCACTCCTCCACTTGAGCCAACCTACATTGATTTTATGAATCACGTCATCTCCAACCTCACCATCCTTCTTAATAATCGAACCTAGGTACCACAAATGTTCACTATTTGTTATCTCATGTTTTCAATCCTCACTTCTCTATTATTTTTACTTTTATTACATTTCATGTATTCAGTTTTAAAGTGCTAAGAGGCTATCTTCTTTTTTTTCCTTTTTTACCTTATTGTCGTTTGAGATGAGAGCTTTCAAATGGACAATATATAACAATATCTTGTACAAAAATAATACATAAAACAAACCATTCGTAATGTTGAAGAATGATGGTATAGAAAACAAATACAACCCTAAAATATATACCCACATGACAATATTACGCTAGATGATTCACAACATCATGACTACATTTTTTTTTTTTTTAATCGGCGAAAGTCAGTTGTTAGATTAGCACGCTATGGGAGTTAGCCTCCCCACCCTTGCAAAACACTAAGTGCTTGCCTCCTAATTCAACTCCCCCTTAGGAAGAGTTGAACCCATGACCTCCCCCTTGGGACTAAACCCTTATGAGAGTCATGGTGGCCCTAGTTGGTTACAACACCATGTGTACATGTTCTCAAGTTCACTACTCCACAATAAGAAAATACATAAATCAATGCGAATTTTTTTTTTTTTTTTTTTTGGTAGGTAATATATAGAAATAAAAACAATACAACAATTTTCTTTTCCAGTAAGAGCATTGCAAAAGCAAAATAAGAAGAAGAAGAAGAAGAAGAAGAAGAAACAAATTCGGCACTCGGGCAACATTTAGAAGCTTGGAAGCTTGGGAAAGAAATGGGAGGAAACCTATATATGCAGTAGTCTTAAAAGATTCTGACACAATAATGGATTGAAGACACCAATACAAAGTTCTAATTGATGATGATAATGATTTAAACCTTCCACACTAACATTTTATTACTTCAAAAAATAAGAAAGAACAGTCACATTACTGTTTTTTCCCATTTTATATTTCTCTTACATTTGTGTGCCTACATGCTTTTGTACATTTTTTTTTTTAAAGAAGTGAAACCAGATATATGTATACCTGTATACCGGTTCAAATGCCTTGACATCTCTGCATTCATCAACATTTGGACATGAAGAATGATGAGAAAGAGCATAGACCAAGTATGGGAGTATGTACTCCGGATAAACCACTGAGGAATTCGCATCACTCTGCAAAGCAAGTTGACGTGCCTTCCCTTGCTGACACATCTGAATAATATCACTTAGATTGTGTTTATCCTGTCAAATAAATTGGATAGATGCATAAATACAAAACTGAACTAATGCAGCAAGAAAAAAAGTAGCTTGAATGTAACAAGGAGATTGAAGATGGCATCATATACCTCCTCAAAATCTGGCTTCTGGGATCCAGTTATATCAAATAAGAAGGCACAAGCGTATTTTGGATCTAAAAGCCGTTCCTTTATATATTGATGAACTTTGTTCAAAAATTGCTTCTTAGCTTGTGGGAAACTGATCTGTATGCCACGAGAGAAGGAAGAAAAAGCTTCAGTAAACTGTTTTCCAGTAAGGGTAAGAATAAAAGAATCATTTACAAGTGGATAACAGCACAACAAATTCAAGATACTTTTCTGAAACAAGCTTTAGTCAACAAAGAACTCCACCTCCAATGTTCTCAAGGTTAGATAAAAGAGATCAACATGTATCTTATGATCCCAGTGCTTTGATAGGCGAAGAACCGCCTTCGCTGCCGCAAGCCTCAAATGAGCCTTATCAACAAGACTGCAAAATGGAAAGAGCCCATATAGAAATCATAACCCTCTTATGGAACAAGAAAGACTTCAACTCATCAAGCAAAATTGATGCATGTTGTCAATCCCTGTGCCATAAAAAATTCAAACTCCTTACCTCGATTCAATCTTTTCTGTGATCTCTCCAAAAGAAAGTATGTTTTTAAGGATTTCAAATAAGCCATCAATCCCAAGACGAAGGTGAGCATCTTTGACAGGCAAGTAACTCTTGACCAATGTTTTAATGCCAAAGATCTGCAGAACAAAATGAAGGGGGGCATCATAATGCATAATGGGTTTCTTAATGTGTTAAATTATTAAAGAAAACACAGAAAAATCATCACTTATTTATTTATTTTGGCAAGGACACAAACATGGGAAAAGAATAGCATCAAGCAAAATACTGGATGAGTTGCTAAACAGCATTTTGTCCGATTTCATATTTAATTGCTTAAACAAATCTTAGAATTCAAAAGCTATAAATGTATACAACACTGCAAAATGACCTTCAATGAACAAAGTTTGCTTCTGTCATCCCAACATTCTTTTGCATTATCTTCCACTATCTGAAACAGAAAAGCACAGTTTAAAATCATGAACACATGATAAACTACAGAAGTCTAACATATTTTCGAAGGCATACATTACTGCACTCCAGAATATTTGTTTTTATGAATCGTTCAAGTTCACTCTCTCTTGTTTCAAAAACTGACATTGCAGTCTGTGCTATGCATCCCAGAGATTGTAGTACAGCAGGTAAATGTGTCTTTTCCTCCAGCATATTGACAAGCCTCTGCACATAGTGCAAGAAACGTATCTCAATTATAGTCACCTTCAAAGGAGAGAAAGACATGATTAGAATAGTCCACAGGGGATGAACTATAAATGAAACCAAACCTTGTACAAGACAGAGAGCGACATCAGCCCATCATCCTTCGTTATTGCTGCTAGGGCATGTACTGCATACTTTGCCTGCCTTCGACTACCCTCTAAACATATCTTTTCCAGTATAAGGTCTAATGAACTGCAAGTAAAAGAAAAACTAAGAAACTCATACACAAGGAATTTGAATAATTGAAATCAACAGTTACCATAGTTGCACCTGGATGAAACTCCCAGTTGTTCTCGAATGGTTCCACCAGCCTTCGCTAGAACATGCAAAACACCTTCTTTAATCACTTCATTATCATCTTTAAGAAAATGTACCAAATCTTTTTCAATCCCACTAAGCAGCAAAGGGCTGAAGCATGCAAGAATCTGTAATTCATCATAAGCAAATATTAAAAAACAAATTGTAACATGTTTCTTTCTTCTTTCTTCTTTCTTTTTTTTCGGTTCTGCAGTTTTCTGACTGGAGAATGGAAAATGTTCAAGATACAAAAAGCCGATGGACAACTATGATACCAACCAAAGAGAATACCTAAAATTGAGATAAAAAATGGAATTATAAGGTGACCACGGCTTTTAGAGTGAGCATTATAATCGAATGAAGAGATGATAACTGACAAAGTACCAGTACCACTGTAGAAGCATGACTCACAATTATACTGCAAACACTTGCATCAGTTAGTTTTAATTTGCAAATGGACATAGTCAGCCATCTAATCAGTTTTCTTACAGTCAGATTCTGCCAAGAAAATAACCCTTATCCACACATCATTACATGTACCCCATTCATGCATGTATCTGTAGGCATGAGCGCATGTGCATTGATTCATAAAATTTCTTGTGTATCACCATGATAGGCTCAACAAAATTGATCAAATCCTACAAACCAGCAAAAGATAATGTCTATATAACACAATCAACCACTTCAAAATAGCATCTAGAGGAAAAGAATGTTTTACCACTAGAATATTCATGCAAGCCAGAGTAAGTTGTGTATTTCCAGCCGATTTCCGCAAGTCAGCCTCCAAAAGGATTTCTTTCACATGCTCCTTGTTGAAAAGTACATATGAACATTTCAGAGAGAGTGAGCTAAGAAAATCATAAAGTCGATGTTTCTCGCCAAGAATCTTAAGCAAATCATCCTGCAAAAGGATATCAATGTCTATAAAATCATCTCATAGACAAAAGATGGAATTTAGTTGTATTCAGATTTATTTGCTTACCTGAGAACTACAAGCTTGGTGAGAGCTAGTATTTGGATCAAGTAGAATTATCAAGATCTTCCATATGTTAGCATCTTTTAACTGATCGAGAATCTGAAAATAGTCCTCGGCCTTTGCAGGATCAGTAAAACAGCGAGACATAATCCGGAAGCAAAACAGTATCTTTTTTTGGAACTCCGGAGCATCATTTTCCTGCATTTGGATGAGAATGGTTAGGATTAGCATTTCCTTCTTCTTCCTTCCAGGAATAAGCAATTGAACATACAGATATTGCAAACCTGATGCATCTGCCTAAGAGAAAGATATCTCTGCATCTCTTGTTGTAACCTGCAATCCACAACAAAAATCTGCCGAAAGTCAGCAGAAATAATCATTGAATACATAAAATTAAATACGTAGGGTGGTCTACAAAACCATATCTGAAAACTGGATGTCAAAACCAAGCCTCCATACGAACCTTTGCTTCTGCTCCAGGATCTTCTCAAGAGCCTTAACCTCAACTTTGTCAAATCCTGAGAAGAGTCTTACCCAATTTCCAACCTTTTGCTTGACTGAGAATTCAATTGGGAACAGGGACCCGCACAAGATGGGCTCAATTGTGTCTGATCTGCACAACAGATCAAAGTATCTCAATCATATTGTTCAATAAGTTAATTCTAACAGATGCCCTGGCTTCTTATTCAATTCAAGAAGCTTTGCTTCTGACAACAAAAAGATCTTCCTAGAGCCACTCTAGCAGTTTTGCAGCTTGACTTGCAAACAACCCTAAGTTGGGAGAATCCCTTTAGTTGTAGTTTGTTATATGATGTAGATTTTTGGCTTACCTTATTCACAAGCCTCTTTTGCCTCCTTAGTAAAACTATATCTTTTTCTTTGAACAAAAACCACAGAGCCCACCTACCCACCTACCCGCAAAAAAGGAAGAAAAGAAAATCTCTCTCCAGCGATACATATAGTAGGAGGATGTGATCCATATTTATTTTGTACATAAAAAGAACAAATTCATACACATTTGTCTATGAAAAGCTATAAAAAAATAATTGTTTGCAACCAGCAAAGCAAAATAATATACCTGAAATCTTTGTCATAGAAGCATCTCAATATCTTTCCAGGAATCCAATCAAAATCATCAGTTTTAGTTGAGCCATTGGATTGGCTCAAGCAAAAGACCCTGTATATCTCAGCCAGCCTCTCCATGGTATATTTTTTAACAAGTAGCTGGATACATGTCAAGTTAATAAATACAATATTAGGCAAAACAAATAACCCACACAAAAAAATTAGGCAAAACAATCACTGAATAGTCTAAAATAAAAAGAAACACAAACAGAAAGAAGGGAAGGTATAAATGTACAGATTTGTCTCGGAGGCGTTCTGCAACAAGCTTTACAGATTCAACAGGAATGGAAGTTAGGGCATTGCAAGCCACATCGCAAATTACAGCAACGACTTGTTTACGAACATTTTCATCATAGTCCAACAGCCGGTCACAGAGGGCAGCTAGAAAATGTTCATCCAGATTAAAATCAAAAGATTACATATGTAAATGAATTGACAAAAAATCAAGAACTCTTACAGATAACTTGAGAAGCTTCTGCTCTGAAAGGATTTGACAGAAGACAAATCTTCGCACGTTCAAGGACAGACATTCTAACCTCAACTACTCTATCAGTCAACCTCTTCAAAAACTCCGAAAAAATTGGCTGAAATGTTTGAGACATAGCAGAGTCCGGCAGAGCAAAAAGGTCACCAACTAACCTCACCGCTTTTAAACGAATGTCTAATTGATCTGTCTGTAGATGTTCAAACTTGAAAACTAAGAAATTGTTCATCAAAATTCAACAAGTTCTAAACTTATGGTATGAAAATAACATTAACTTCTTCATGAAATTATTGAAGAACACGTAAGTAAACTTCAGGTGATGTTAGGACGTAAGTATTCAAAAACAAAAAAATAAAAAAAATAGCAAAGGTGGAAACATTTCATCATGCCACAAAATGAACAGAATAAAGATTGAAAATTATGTTTAATTTATGTGCGTTGGTCCTGAACTTTTAACCAAGTGTTGAATGAGAAGGAATAGGTCACAATTTTTTATGATATGCTCATTCATGACATAATTTCAATATTATATCAGGATGAACAGATTTACAAGAAATATTCTAAGTAGTAGAACAACATTTACTTACAGAGGACAAAAAAAAAAGTAAGCAACAAATTGTGTGATTACCAGTAGCTCTCCTGTCAGGAATGGGACAACGCCCGATAAGATCTGAGGAGCACAACGATAGACATCATAGATTATTTCATGGTAATCAATTTGACCATTTAAAGACTTGCTATCCCCTGACATTGATGATATAAGAAACTGCCTTACGCCAGGCTCAAGTTTCACAGAACAATGCTCAATAACATTCATAGCAAGCTTCCTTGCAGCCATTGCAACATCCTAGTATGACAAATCCCAGAAAAACAATTAGTTGCAGAAGTTGTGATTAAATAAACTTAATATCATGCAAGCAAGCAAGGTAATTGTTAGCCAACGACGGCCTCCTAACAAACAAGAATATGAAGAGCTGCAAATACACATGCAGAAGAAGGGCTTACACTCTTATTCCGGCCTAAAACAGACAGTAAAGAAAGTAGAAGTTCGTCCCGGACATCTTCACTCTCTTCTAAGAGAACAACCATGATTGTTTGCATTGAGTTTAGAACACTTTCTGGATGATCGTCACTGCATTGTGGAAGTTACAAAGTGTAAGTTACTAAATTCAGAAGAAAGCTCACAGCAAAAGCACATTTACCAACAAGAGTCTTGATGCAAAACACCCTACCCATCCTCGCAGTTATAACATGACATAAAGTTAAAAGTAGAATCGTTGTCCAAGATATCCCCCAATAGTAAAACTATTCAATGTGGATACTGATTATTGGCAGTTATTATGAAGAAACAAAGTGATTATTCGAATACCATTGGATTAAGTGAGGACCCACTCTGGATTTCCATCTCTCACTTTGTGTCATTGAATAAAATATTTATTTTTCCAACATGTGTCCCACATAATGCCCCAGGTTCAATACTAAGGAGTTTGACCCTAATGAATTGATATGTCTCCTAGTTTTTAATTACATCAGAAAATTTTCTATTAATCCTAATTGTCAAAATTCTTCCACCATGTTACTGACAATCAAAAGAGACCAACCGATAAGTTTGGTGTAGGTCAGGTAATATCCAAGTTTTATCCAATTAGACATACCAGGATCCAAAATCAATCCACTCTCTGGATCCAAAGAACTATGACTTCAATTCTAATCAAAAAAACTCAAAGATGGGAATTTGGTTCAAGAGAAATCAGGAAATTACGAGCTATGTTCATCAACATTGGCAATATATTTAATATTTCTAATACAAATATAAATGACATATCAAAATGTATTACATCTTAAGTGTGATTCCAATCTCAAAAACAAAATAAATCTGCCAAAGATGGACTTTTATCAGATTATCATCAGATCCCATCAAGCAGATTCAAGTTATGAACCAATAGACTTGAGCCAAACTCATGAATTAAGGCAATAAACGCACCCACCCTAATCACCATTCACATATGCTTGAAAAGTAGCAAAAATATGAACACATTAATTACATTATTAAATAAATATAACAACAAATAAATTGATAAAAAGAAACGAGCAACATCTGACCAAAAAAAGAAGGAAAAAAAGAAAAGAAAGGATAAGGTAGTATTGTTGGCTCAAAAAGTGCATTCCTCATAACTAATTATGAAAACTGTGATGGAACAAAAACAAACCTGGTAACAGACAAAAATGTACTGAACATTTGGTTGACTAGATCATCGCATTCAAGATCCAACATCACCACACACGACCTATATCTTGCAAGAGTCTCCAATATGAATACTCTCCTTCCAAAAGATGGACCACTGGTATCACTTAACCCACTAAAGGTACTGACAATCAAATGAAAAATGTCCTGTAGATGATCCAGATATTACGGGGATGAAGTAGAGAACAAGCTAAGGATTATATACAAACCACATGCACCAATTCTATTTACTATTTGATCTTCAAAATATAAATGTACCTTTAAAACATCATCACTATAAGGAGCTTCAGGTGCAGTAATCCGAGTTATCTCACAAACATTGGTTGCAACAAGAAGCTTGACTTCCCTATCTTGATGCTTTAGCAGTTCTGTTTTGACGATTGCATTTAAAAAAGGCTTCATGGACTCCAATATTGACTTTGTTGGTGATTGATCCAATTCAGAAAGGCATGTTGCAGCTTGCTGCATGACATATAAGGTGTTTTTAAATTATAATATACCGACCAGATGAAATTTCATATCAGTTGACCTTACGAAACTAAAGAAATATCAAAGTATAGTGGTCCATAATTGTAGTGTAAGCACAAAAAGAATCAGCATCTTACCAATTCAATCGATAAAATAAGGTAATTTTCTTTTTCCAGGGGGTCCAATATTATGTTTCTATCAATTTTTCCAGTGTCTCCACTAACGCTCCGTTTGTGTGGACAGAAAACATTTTCTAATGGAAAACATTTTCTACAGAAAACTTTTTCCAGAAAAAAATTTTCGAATAAAATATTTTTTCTATGATTGGTGGTGGTGGTGCAGGTGGAGGTGGTGGCATGGTGGTGGGGCGACGGCGGCGGTGCTGGTGGCAGTAGCCATGGTGGTAGAGGTGAGAGTGGTGGTGGTGGTGGGGTGGTGAGAGGTAAAATTTTGGTCCAGAAAACGTTTTCTGCCCAAATAAGTTTGCTTTCCATTGACCATGAAAAATGTCTTCCGTTGACTTTTGCTTTCCGTTGACTTTCATTTTTCATTGTACCAAACACCAGATAACACAGAAAACATTTTCTGTTTTCCACCCAAACAAAAGAAGCATAATATTAAATTACATTACCTAGAAGTGAACAGTCCATATGTGGATGCAAGTGAACAGTCCAGTGCCTCCACTACAGATGGGAAAATAAACACTTGCAAGTGCAGACCACTTCGTAGGAAGAGATTAAACTGGTTACCTGCTCATCCATCACCCTCCATAGGTGGATGCAAGAAGGGATGACTGAGGCATTTGCCCCCACTGAACTTCCATAAAATTCACTGTTTTGTGGCTGTGTATTTATTTATCTTGGGGGTGTTTGGGAAGAGGATTGGGCTAAAATAACCCATTAAAAGACAAAATAGGCTAAAATAGTCAATAAAATAAAATGTCACATTCAACCATAATCATTTCACTTTTTCTCTTACAACCATCAAATCAACTACAAGAAAAAGCCAACCAACTTACCAAACACAACTATTTTAGCTAGGCTAAAATAGCCAACTAAAATAGCCAACCAAAATAGCCAACTTCCCAAACAAAGCCCTTATTTAGGTTGTAAAACTCACAGTATGCCCCACTGATTTAGTGATCCACCCCATTCTTTATTAACGCTATACTAAAAGTTGCATGCCAAATGATATGTCATTAGTACATTGGTAAACAACACATTTCGCTTTTTGCCTACAAATCTAACCTCCTTTTCAATATTAAAATAATAGAGTGAATAAAAATAACATAATTTAAACATTTGTATCTTATCAACAAATATTTAAGTTTTTATTATTAACTTCTTTTGGTAGTTATTAGGAAACAATTTCACCCATGATTCTATATAAATTTCACCCATGATTCTATATAAATTTCACCCCACTTGATAAAAATTCGCAATCCACCCATATGAGGATCTTTCCCTTAAAGACCAGAAAACTTGCTTCCTCTATAATTTGAAATTCACTTATGCATCATCATCAAGGACTTCAAACATGCATAGTTCAAGTAGTTTGTTTTAGCTGTGGTGTTTATTTATCTTAAGCAGACCTGTTGATTGACTCCTCAATCCACACAGCCAATGTGATTTGGAACCCAGTTGATTTCTGATGCCAGTACTGTTACTACCACAATGTCAGTGTTCTATGTACATGTTATTAAATTACTAAACCTAGTTTATGAGCAATTCCACCACACATTATATTACTGCTTAATCGAACAGAATTCCCAACAAAAAGGCCACTACTCTTGTTTATTATTCCTCTTTGGAAATTCCCAAATGACTACAGGCTTCAGCTGCCAATTTCAGAATAAAACAATAAACAAACCTCTTCCACTCAAAAATCCTCAGCATCTCATTTATTCATATGCCTCAACCTCAACCTACTCTTTTTCCAAAAAAGTGTTATTAAAACAGAAAAGAGAAAGAGGACAGGAAATCCTCATACAAAGAAAGAAAAAGAGAAGAAGAAAAAGCAAAACAAAATCGCAAAACTCGTAACCCTAAGGATGGCAAACAGTAGCCCAATCCCTAGACATCAAAAACAAAGGGACTCTTTTAAAAGGAGGAGATACAAATGCCCAAAATGAGACCAAATATTCCGCCCTATCCCACAAAGCCTCTACACTTACTTCCTTGCCTTCAAAGATTCAAGCATTTCTCTCCAACCATATAACTCAGAAAATGGCAAAAACAATGCTTCTCCACATTGTTTTGGCTTTCTTGGTGCTCCCAAACCCGTCAAACCTAATAATAAGCATATGCATACACTCCCGTGGAGCAACCCATTGCACATCACATAAACTGAAAAGGTGCTGCCATAATACAGAAGCCACCGGGCAATGAAGAAAAATGTGATCCGCTACCTCCAAATTTCTCTTGCACATCACACATCATTGAGGGCCTAGAGAGTGATTAGGCCTTCTTCGCTGAAAAACATCATTAGTTGTAACACCCTTTTGAGCCAAAGACTACAAGAAAAACTTCACTTTATGAGGGACACCCGCTTTCCAAATTTACTTATGAAAAGGGAACAAGAGAACCGAGAGATTATCAATAATCTCATCAAAAAATGATTTACATGAAAAAATTCCTGAAGAAACAAGATTCCACACCCTACTATCACAAGACGAAGAAAGAGAAACCCCCTCGAGCACTACCAACAAAGATGTCAACTCCCCCGCCTCCCTATCATTCAAGTTTTTAAAGAAATCAAAATTCCAAGAGATGGGTGCCATAGAAGAGCAAGCCACCGACACTATTGACACATTTGGAGAACGAGCCAACCTGTAAAGAAAGGGAAAAGATCTAGCAAACGAAATATCCCCTAGCCAAACATCCGCCCAAAACCGAACATTCTCCCCATTCCCCACTCTGAATGGAAAAAAAAAATTAAACAAAAGAAGATACAAACGAGAAATGGATTTCCACAGTGAACGACAATTGCCTCTATTAACCACATTAGAACCCCTACCATTGGATTGAACTCCATACTTGCTTTTAATAACTGAACACCATAACGATTCACTTTCAAGAGGAAATCTCCACAACCACTTGCCCAAGAAAGCAATATTCCTAGCAACGATGTTTTCTATAGCCAAGCCACCTTTTGCCCTAGAAAGAGAAACAATCTCCCACCTAACCAAATGAACACCTTTACCCTCATCACACCCTTCCCAGAGAAAATCCCTCATCAGTTTCTCAATCTTTCTTCTCTTACCAAACCGGAGGAAACAAATTCAACTTCAGACCTTGAAAACGAAATTCTCAACCACAGGCTTCCATCTAACTCAAATTATTTGTACAGAAATTTGCTCAATCTTCAAGTTTTCCCCAAGAAAAAAAAAATTGAATTCTCAAATTCAAAGAGAAAAATTGATTTTCCACAAAGGGAGTAGAAGACAATTATCCCTACATTAGAATGTCAGAATTGAGTAAAACAACCCCCAATTAGTACACATTAATTAATGTGTGTTTGGAAAGAAAAAGATTGGGCCCACACCTAACTTTTGGTACAGGACACAACGCAGTTGCCCATGACTTGAACCCATAACCTCTAGCTCATTAATGTGTGCTTGGGAAGTGAAAGATTATGGCCACGCCTAACTTTCGGTACAGTGCACAGCGCAGTTGCCCGTGACTTGAACCCATAACCTCAAGCTTATTAATGTGGGTTTGAGAAGAGAAAGATTGCGCCCACACCTAACTTTTGATACAGTGCACAACGCAGTTCCCGTGGCTTGAACCTATAATCTCAAGCTTATTAGGTCAAAGTTTTACAATTAAACCAATGGTCACCCCAAATGTCAGAATTGAGTAAAGTCAAAAATTCCCGGAAAATATTCCGGTACTATTTTCTGTCGAAAATAAACAGGCCAAAAAAAAAAAATTATATTTTTTCATTGTCTCGTTCTAGAAAATAATGAAATACAAAAAGGAAACGCTACCAATTCCAAAACTTTCCTCTCTTGTTGTTTGAGGAAAAAAAAATTCAAAGCAGCAGTCTAGCATGTCAATGAACCCTAATTCACCTCAAATTCCACAAGCTTTCCAGCAAAACCAAGAATTTGGCCCCCCAAAATCAGATTTACGAGCATGAAAACAATTCGAACCAAAAAAAGGGTCTAAACAAAACGAAACAATGGGTGTATAGCAAAACGTAACGAAAAATTGCTGATGAAGAAAACTGAAAAAGAGAAATGCTTACCTTTAAGAGCTTGACGAGCGCGTCTTTAGTGGAGGGAGGGTTCTCTAGCTTCGATCCGAGGTCTTTGAGAAGCTGTGGGAGCTTTTGTTGCGCCATGGTTGTGTTGGTTTAGGAGCTACACGTGCTCTGTCTCAGAGCACCATCTGGTTGAAGAGACAGAGAGAGAGAGAGAGAGAGACAGAGAAAGAGAAAGAGAGATTTTGGGGGGTTTCGAACAAGTGAAGCGAAATTAAGCGGAATACTCTCGACTTCAGCGCTATATATATATATATCCCTAGATTTCTTTTTAACTTTCGCTGATGATGGGATTTTGCTTTCTCGCTCCTGTACTTTTTTTTTTTTTTTTTTTTTTTTTTTTTTTTTTTTCTTTTTTTTTTTTTAAATAAGTTGATTTTTGACTAATAAAAAAAATTATAAGTTGTATTATTAAATTGAACTAAACACATCAAAATAATTTAAATTAAGTTAAAAATTAAAATAAATTGAAAATAAGTTCTACTAAAAAGGGTCATTTTCCTACGTTAAAAGAGAAAAAATCAATTATTAGACATATTTATTTATTTATTTATAGGATATACAAAACATTATATATAGAATTTGAAAATTGTTATTCTTAGCCTATGTTTGTTTGTACAGACTGGATAAGAGGAGGTCATAATCCATCGAACTGTTAATCTCGACATACATAGTCTCTAGATTATTTAGTTGAAAATGATTTACACTCCATGTTTATTTAGTTATGGGATTAGATGTTAAAAAATAACTATTCTATTGAATCATATTTTTGTTTGGAATATTATGAAGAAGCCAAAATGCTCAAAAGACTATTTTATCATTATGAATTATTTACTAAATAATGGGATGGAATTAACTTATTAACGACGGAGTCATGAAACATCTCTTTTACGGATAGTGAATGGTATGATGACATCTAATGAATTTTTAGAAAATAAAGAAAACACATCAACCATTTCCTGTACACCTCCCATGCAACACAAACCCACCCTATCAGTTTGCTCCCCCTTTTCTCTCCTAGCTAGCCCCCATTATTGACGGCCCAACAACACCATCCTCTTCTAGTTCCACCACAAATTTCAACAATAGCATACTCATTCCAGTATTAAATAAGAAATTTGGATTCGGTAATAGTGCTTTCTCTTCCATGTGATCCATAGCCACTTGAAAAAAAAAGGGCAACTAACTATGGATATTTAATCCAACCAACTTATACATATTCCCTTAATAAATTGTACACGGTGTCTTGACTATAAGACTTAGCGATCAATCGTATTGGGTATTGAGAGGATCCATTATTGATATATATAGGATTTTGGCATGATGTTTATCAGATCTCTTCAAAAGGGTTTGTGTCCTTAAGTTTTCCTCTTCACCATTGAAAATTCCTCACTATAAAACATCACACACATACCAAACCCACCCAACTTCCTTACCCAAAATATATATATATATACCCAACCCAACTTTGGCTCAACACCACCATCATAGCACCAAAGTCGACTCTACAACAATCTATTATTTGATTCCAACAAAAATTCATCATCAATAAAAGCTGAAAATAAAAGACCCATGACAAAACAAACACCAAATCTCTTCCTCTACTGTTGGCCAATGAGATTTTTGTGCAAAAACTCCTAATTTGCATGTCATAAATGTCCAAATTTCTTATTTCAACCATGAACTAGTTATTTGTAATGGTGTAGACACCCCATTTTTTACTAACCTTAAGACTTGGGTGCTCTCTTTTGAGTTCCCATTGATGAAGACGGTATGTGTTAATCTTACAAGTGTTATAGCAAGAAGTCTAAGGACCAAGTTTTAAACAACCCCAATGTCTGCTTTGGATAAAATGTTTTTCAAACTAAAATGGGAACTTCTTTCAAGATGAGTTTAGTGGTGCAATTCTAGACGTTACCGCAATGTTCTAGCTCATATTTTCAAAATCAAAGCGTTGTATTCTTTCAAACAAAGTGAGCAAAGGATATAGTGGGAAAGAATGGAAAGGATAAAATCCTCTGAAATATATGTTTCTCTTCTCAATTCAAGCTGACATTCTCTAGTTGATCTAAGGGTGTATTCTTTGACTGGTGTATTCTAACTCAATTATCCTATCCATGTTTAATCAGTTCATGGTTATTCAGATCCAGATTGGGTTGTCTGAACTCTCGTTTCTATGATGAGTTCAATTACATAGCAAATCCAATTGGCAATACAACAGTGAGAGGAAATGCATAAAGTCTTGTCCAGGGTGTTGGTTGTTCACTTTGAGGTTAATTTCGGGTGTGTTAAGTAATAACCATTTACGAAAATTTGTTTTGATGTGTTTAACAAATTGCCTAATTTTCTCAAACATCTTTTTGCAAAATGAACCATTCTTTGGACCCAAGAAGAAGCTTTCCAATACCCATAATCTTGGATTACACGATTTCAAAACAAAAGTGGAAAAACACATGTTCATCCCGCTCTTATGTTAATCACAGTTTTTTTTTTTTATTAGAAAACTAAAAGGTTAAAGCAATAAATTAGGGGCACAGTTGAGTCAAGTCCTCTGCCTTCTCCCTGCTGCATCAGATGACTCATGCAATGCCACAAAATAATAATAATAACCCACATCATAATATCTTGTAGAATTGATCAATAACGTCATATATAATATATCCATTTATACTCCTTGTTCATACAAAAGATGACATATGCGTGTTTGCATTCATAAATCCTAAATCTTGAATCCATAGCATATGACATGTGTACATATATTGAAATAAAAGAAAGTTCAAGTAAGATTTATGCCCTAATGGCTACACATTTCCAAGTGCATGCTTGGGTACAACAAAATGAGTTCAACTCAATATAGTTAAAACCTAAGGCTTGTACAAAAACAATTACATCAAATCAACAAAAGGAAGTTTTTGGCTCCAAATCCTTCCAAGCTATGTCCTTGTTAAAGGCATATAATCAGCACCTGAAAGTTGTTTTCTACATAGAGTGAGCCAAAACCAGTAGAAATACTTTAACACAATATATGAATCTTTACAAAGTCACGAGGTGAATACATAATGTCATTTGCCAAGTGTTTCACATTTCCTTCTCAAAACAATGCAATGCCAGATTATATATCAGTTCATGAAAATAACCTTTTATATATCAGAAAACATGGCAGTGGATGCAAAACATTAAGAATCTCTAGGTACGTATCTACTAGTAGGCTATACAAGTATTATCAAAGCCATTTTACTGGTATTAACCGGAAGGATCGGTACCTAACTACGTGAGTTTCTGGACTTTCACAAAAAACACACAAACCAACATCATAACCACAACGACACCCTCTAACCAGATTCACCAAGGTATTCACTTCTTTTTTCTCAAAACAATACATTTTCAATGTTTAAGTACGAAACAATACTCAATGCAAGATGTATGAGTAATTAGTTTTAATTCACCTAATCCTCAAACAATTTCTACAACAATCAAAACTATCCTCTATCGATAACCCAAAATAAATATTTCTATTCAATAGATAATTTCCAACAAAAGCTATAATCTCATTATTTTCAAAATGGGAGTGATATACATATCTTACTCCACCATCATTATCAACATGCACATTCGTTTCATTCTTTCAAAACCCAACATCTTTTTTCTTTTTTTTTTCAAAAACCAGATATCCATGATTTTAGAACAAAAACCCCCCATTTACTTTCAAAATCAATTTTAAGTAAAGAAATCCACCATTTTAACATATCTCTACCATAAACACATCCCCATAACTTTTTCTCAAGAACCCCTTTGAAAATCCCTCTTTTTACATTTCAAAATCAAACCCTAGGTTTAACCCAAAATTCTCAAATCACTAGATTCTTTCAATGAGCAATAACTAAGGTAAAAACCATACCAAAGATTGAAGAAATCCCTACCTCAAGATTAGAATAAAAGCGAGAGCAAGGGTTGAAGTTTGGCGGAGCAGAAAACGACATCTCCTTTGATTAAAATGAAGCTTTAGACGAGCTCTAACTTTTTCTCCAAAGAGCTATGGTGGAGAAATCAATGGGTGAGGGTATATTTGAGATTTTAAGCAAGAACTAGAGAGAGAGTGAAGAAATTAGGGTCTGGGAGGTTTTAGAGAGAGAGAAGATAAAAAAGTTATTCAAAAACCCTTTTTTCCGAATTGATATACGTATAGACCGCTCGAGCGACCAAAACACCACTCGAGCGTCTGACACAATAAGTGATACCGCTCGAATGACCAAGAACACTGCTCGAGCGCACAATGACCCCTTCTCAGAAGTTCAGACCTGTAAAAGACGGCTCAAGCACAAGAAACACCGCTCGAACGAAGATACTCCACTTCTAGAAGTTTTGCAGACCTATAAAAATACTAAGAGATCTCAAAGACCACTCGAGTGATCAAAACATCGCTCGAGTGAACAAGTAAAAAACAGGACAACAACTCTTTTGAAAAACTAACTCCTAACCTGTTTCAAACACAGCCAACACTCAACCCAACCAGCAATAATATGAAAATAGTATGAATTAACAATTAAAGACACGAAATCTTGGATCTAAAAGCATGAAATGGGTCGGGTCTAAACTGGAACCGTTATAACTCAACTACCAAGGAAGCATCTACCCGTGCCTCATCTTCAAGCCAAAGTAAGCACTCGTCGGAAAGGGCATAACTGAAACCATCGACAAGAGCCACGAGCTCTCTCACTCTCCAGGTACCGTGAAAGATGCATAACCCGAAACGAAAATAAGTTGGATACTCAATCCCATCGATAGAGTGAGTCTGGTCATGTCCAAACTATCACTTGAATCGGAAAAGGAAATAAAAGATGCAGTGTATCAAGCAACTAATTGCAAGCCTGGCCGATGGAACATGTTATATGTCATTAGAGGCAAGTCTATCCAGAGGCAGTGCCAAGCAATGTTCGTTGTAGATTTGTTGTACATCTAGTCACACCACAGACCTTTCGAGGGAAAACCCACTATTTGGGCTCGAAAAAAGTAGTTCCTGGTCGAATACTAAACACAAAAAGTCACTATTTTTAGCTTATCTATCAACCATACCTGGAGAGGGATGAAAACAAGAGAGATTAAAGAATAAAAAGGTGTGCATTGAGTGGAAAAAGTAAGAAAGGGTTTTGAGAGGAAAAAAAATTAAGTGATGAGGGCTAGAGTGATATAAGAAACATAAATTGAGGAAATGATGGGAAATAGTACCTGAAG